ACTGACAATTAAAGTGACAGTAGATTTTTTGAGTGCGTTTTGTTCGTTTTGTTTACCTAAATTATATAGTTTTTTCACTTTTATAAATATATACTCCTAAAGTAAGTAAATAGCATGCATCAAATATACAATCGTTTAGTTACCAATTACATAAATTTAAACTATTTTTATGACCTGCAAACAATAATTAGAAATAAACTAAAAACAGTAAAAACGTACATGTCAAATTTATTGATGTTTTTGTTAAAAGTTTGGTTAGAATTAAATGTCAGTGGAACCAAAATGACATCACACTGAACTAGAGCATTGGAAAAATTTCCCAAAATATGTCGAATGATTTTCTTTGGAGGACATATTTTGACGTAGATTTTAGGCTTGAACGAGCAACACCCTATGAGGGGGCGCTTCAACCCCTCAAAATTGAATAGGGAAGAGGGGTTGAGTGATACTTCATTTATAAGGTCTTGGAAGCCTCTTTACAACGGAAAGTGACACATATCGCACTATTTTGTTTTACGGGAAGTGTCTATATCACAAGCGTGTAAATAAGAATCTACTTTCTACCTGTGTGTGAATATATTCGATCATGTATTAGGAAAGATACGCCTTACCTGTGGAAGTAATGGGTTTAATGATTACCTAGACGGGGAGAGAGGAAAGGTACACAAACGGAAAACTTGGCAGTGCCGTACCGTATGGAAGGGATTATATATTGTTAATTACTATAAAAGCTAGATGAAAGCGGATGAACATGATTTTAAAAATATTGTTTTATAGCGTATATTTTTAACTTTCAATGTAAGAATAGTATTTCACAGTATTAGGCATTCCAAACTGAATGGCTACCAGTAGGTTTTGACGGGTTATAATATGGAAACATTATGGCAACCCTGTAGGCCTGGTGATTTGACAAGGTCAATGAAATAGATAGTTACATAGATTGATCATCCATATTTTTAAAAATAAACATAAGCTTATGCCTTGAAGTAAAAATGTAAGCAATTATTTTTTTTTTAATATCTAAAGGCTAAAATTTGTTTTTAAAACACATTTTTGCTAAAACGGTTCAAATTAATAAATATTTGTCAGGCAATATGGCCGCTCGTAAACGAGCAGCTTGTAAGGGGTTTTCTCGCCTCAGAGAAAACGATTACTTACAAATGACGCCTGTTGACGGGACGGCTCTCGGGCGCCAGATTTGATGTGTGGTTTACTCCACAAACTTTCGAAACGGCGTCGAAAGTACTCGGGCAGCACAGATGGAGATGAAAAATTCCAGGGGTCGTTGGTCACTCAGACACAGGTAATAAGTAACCACAAGTAACGGGCTTTAATCGTTGCTTGTGGTGATAAAGAATTTCTCACTGCTGAAATAAAGGGGGACGTAAATTAGGGTTCAGTAACTTCAGTAACAGTCAAGGTAACGTTGACACATATATTGAATTTTTAACTATTTACAATAAAAAAATAAATAAATATTTCAACGCCCACCCCCGCTCGTAATTTTAAAACCCTGAACAAAATAAAAACAAACAGATCGGCCAGTAATGATTAGTCTCAATCAGACGGTAGAATCAAAATTAGAAGAAAGATGCTCGGTGGCAATAGTATCTAATTAATAAATTTGTCGGATCGGTGGTTGAGCCAAAACGAAACCAAAAACAAATAATGGCGGTCGTAGCAAAAGTTAATTAGTTAACTCTTAAATCGGCATAAAGATTAAAGTTAAATATTTTGTTTCGTAAAAAAAATTAAAATCACGGTCGTAGAAAAAGTTATCTGGTTAACTCTCTAGTCGGTATTGAAACTGAAACAAACCTCCTTGTTTTAGTGAATGGGGAATAGATAAATGATAAGAAAACGAGATAGTATCAATCCTATGAGGAGTGCACTCGCCACAACCAGCACGCTCAACATAAAAATGATACTATCATTTTAATCACGGCGCGGAGGTAACTAAAAGAAAATAATCAAAATCCGGGTTAGTATTTAATCCTATGATGAGTGTACTCGCCACAACCAGCCCACTCAAACACAAAACAAAATATCAAACCGGGTCAGTATTTATCCTATGATGAGTGTACTCGCCAAAACCAGCCCTCTCAAACATAAGAAAAACACTAATATGTTAATCACGGATAGGGGTTAATCTAAATAAAATCTAAAACTGGGATAGTATCTAATCCCATGTGAGCTTTCTCGCCACAACCAGTCCACTCGACATGAAAAATGATACTATTTCAACTTTCCAACTTTCGAACTAATTCTATTCCCAAGAAAAAAAGTTAAACCAGATTGTGAATAAACAGAAACAAAATTTACGGTCGTAGTAAAAGTTAAGTAATTAACTATGTACGGAATTTAATTTAAATTTAAATTTATTATTACTTAAAAAAAATTAGGAACAAAATCCACGGTCGCAATGAAAATTAACTAATCAACTGTATACGGAATTTAATTTGAAATTAGGTTTACTATTACTGTAAAATAGAAACACAATTCACGGTCGTAATAAAATTAATTAATTAATAAAATAGAAACAAAGTGTCTATTTCCTAATAACCAAAACTAATTTCCAATGTTTCTAAATAAAATCAAAACTAAATAATTTATCTGTAAATCAAAATATTTTTAACGAAAATCTGAAATCAATTATTATTTCTATTAAATAAAATCGAAAACGGAATAATTATTTCAAATGAAACCGGTATTCGAACGTTTTAACTCAAGAACCGTCGACAAAAAAAAAAAAAAATGTAAACAAATTCGGTGTACCTAACTACGGTATCGGCGATAATTTTCAGCGGTGTATATCGGAGCAAAAGCAGCAGATGCTAGTCGAATCAGTAAAGTCAATTGAATGAATTTTCATACCGAATTCTGAATTCTAGTCTCTATGCCCAAGCAGGCTAGCTCCCCACTCGATGTGCGCGAAGCGCGCGCGCTTTCGTTACTCAGGTATAATACGCGAATTTTAATGAAACAAAATTTGATATACAGGGTCTATCCATGAAGTTAAAATAAAATAAAAAATAAAAATTGAAATTTATATCCGGAATAGGCCGAAATATAGTAATGAAAATTGACTTCATTACAAGCTTTGAGCAATCTATATAACTATATATGTATCATTGACCCTGTTAATGACAACATGACAACAGGGTTGCCATATCTAAACTGTCATTACCCACTGGTAGCCATTTGGACAGGTCGTTGGAATGCCTAATTGTGATACTACATAGACCATCCATTCGTTATTTTTAAGTAATTCTAACTGAATTGATGACTTGATTTATTTCATAAACAAAATATAAACGTTTCCTGACATACCTATCTACACCATAAAAGCACGTTCGTCCTACCACTTTTCAACTACCTTAGAAGCTAGCACGCTTAGCCGATGTTTTGAAATTTGTGCGTACCCTTTTTACACTTACCATAACAGCCCTAGCTGTGCTCGTTCCAACATCCTTACCCCTAGAGGCAGGAGCGTGCCAAGCGAGTGTACCCTTTTTACACCTACACCATAAGAGTCAGCTACGCTTGTCCCAACAAAGATCTCACTACTAGAGGAAGGGCTAATGGAACCTCTACAATGGAACACCGGACAAGAGTTTGCAGGATTTTTCCTGTAAAAACATGCTGCAAGATGCTGAATACCGACCGTCTGTATATTGGGTGAATCGTCGAATTCATCCTTGGCGATGAGAAATTTTTTTTGGCGTTATTTTAAATTTACAGGGTGCACCAAACAAAACTACAAATCATAATAAAATAATTATTTTACTATTTTTATTTAAGTAGGTACCTATTGCAATTGTGTCTTAAATATTGTAATATTGAAAAATATGTATTTTATTTTTAATTATACAGGGTAGCTCAAAGTATTTCAATTATATATTTTAATAGAGATAATATGGATTAGATTAGTTACGATTGTGGTAAATAATTTAAAAGTATCCGAATGCCGAAAAAAGTATCCGTTATCCGGATACGGATACCAGATACAAAATTTGAAAAGTATCCAGATACAACTTTCGGATACACATAAAGTATCCGGATACTGTATCCGGAAACAGAAGTATGCTGCAGTAGTTTTAAAACTTGCAGAGCGAATATTAGAATTTATATTAGAATATATTAAAATTTATTCTTTGACAACTATTTTTCTAATTAGAATTTGCTTCAATATTTACGATCAAAACAAATATACGCAGTATGCATTACAAGACAAAACAGATTTAATAATCCAACATTTTCTTCTGACAAAGCTATGAAACAAAGGGGTCATGGTTGTTCTGAAGAACTTATTAGCCAAGATGGAGAGGTAATTTTAACCAAGTGGTACGATAATAAGCCAGTAATTATGACTTCAAACTACTTGGGTGTTGGCATCCAAGACTCATGCAAAAGATGGGATAAAAAAGAAAAAAAAAAAATTCATTCAAGTCGAGCGGCCAGAGGTTATCAAAGCATATAATACACATATTTATTTCAATATTCAAACACTTCTTATTTATAACCTGATGTAGGATTAACATTATTTTAGGTTATTAAGATAAAATAACTAATTTAATAATAATTTATAACTTTTACTAATTTATACAATAAAGTAACTTAAAAAAAAGATTTTATACTACTCTTGATACTTAAATTGATTTTATTTTGTTTTTTAAAATTTAAGATTTATTTGAAAACAAACAAATATCTTGTTAAACGCTATTATTTAAGGAATCTTCACAAGAATCACTCAGTTTGTTTGACAGAATTGTCATTAATTTAAAATTTAAAAAAATAATAGTAGCCTGTTGACTAAAATGAATTCTGGTTGGTTGATTTCATATCCGTACAGTGTTCTTATTCTTACTAAAATAGATATGAAATATATTCGTTCAGTAGAATGCAATCGCCTTTTTCGTTTTGCAGTCTGTTCGTACAATAGATAATATATATCCATGAGGTGTTGAAAAAATAGATAATACACAAATAAATAATCGTAATCTAATAAATTAATTTTATTTTCAAATTAGGTTACAAAAAATATTTAACATATACAAAAATACTCAGCACAAATAAAGCCAAATTTAAAAAAAAAAAAACTAAATATGATGCTGTATCACAATTATTGTTGGACCTACTGTAATATTGATGAGTGGAGATTTTACAACTGTGAGTCGGGTAAGAGGAAAAGAAATTTGAAAAGGAATTAATGTGAAGTAAAGGTAAAGAAAATAGAAATTTATTATTGTTTTTTTTTTGTAATGTAAACTAGCAGAATAAGTATTCGAAATAAAAATGTTCAATTATTTTGAACACTTCAAAATACGAAATATTCCTGCTAGTTTACTACGATCACTTTTTACCAACTATTAAGAGTGAAAAAAGGAAACAAGGAGTGAAACTTTATTAAACAGTTTAAGCTTTGGTAGTCGTGGTTGCAGGTTCTTCCGGAACAGGCGCTACAGTTGGAATTTCTGGGTACTCTAGTTTAGCTCCTTCTTCGCAACTGAAGGTAGGACAGCAGTAAGGAAAACTTGCAGTTTTGTTGGTTTTATCTTAAAAAAAAAAAATAAAAATGAAAATCAAACAATAAAATTTTTACTGTGCACTATACAATAAGTGTAAAAACATAGTGGAGCAACAAAAATATATAAAATTTTCGCCCTTTCAGGCAACCCTTTTGCTCCCACTGAGGAGTTTTGACAGGCTCCAACAATGAAGATTGGATTCAAACATGTTCTTCCTAATCTGGAATTCGCATGGTTGCACTACAGCCTGACGGACTTGTTAATAATATTTGTAATTGGGGACACCAGACAAAACATGGGTATATATAATATAAAGGCAACACTTGTCGAAGAAGGTTTTATTTAATAACTAACAAATACATGACAGTAGTTGTATGACCTACTGCTTCCCATTCATTCAACTTGTATTAATTTATTCCACCTCTTAGATAGGCTCCAAGCTGTAAGAGTTTGTACACCGATTCAGATTTAGATTCATGAACATTATTTGGCCAACGAATTCCCGGAAAATAATTGGCCATCTCTCTTATGAACCTTATGAACTGTGACAGAGCTAGGTACATTGCTTGGGTGTCTTGTTTATGTACGATGATAAGACTATGATGATCTGTATCATTGTATCTGTAACGTGTGAAGGGTGGGCTGCCCCACGACACTTAAGCCTGTCTGTCAGAATGTGTGTGATCAGGCGTACCTAAATTTTGTATAGTCATAGTTAAGTATTTGGTTTCTGCAGTGTTGTCAGCTCCCTGGGAACTCTGAAGTTACTTGTTTCATCCCATCTTTTCTCTTGAATTTCACAAAGGAATGTTATTTAATTAGGTTTGTCACTACCGATGTTGCAATAAATGCCTGCGCCAAAGTCATGCTAAATGACTCTCTGATAAGAGAATCGTTATCATGACAGACAGTCAAGCAGACCTTAAAGCACTGAAAAGGGTAGAAGTACAATCTAAATCAATATTTGATTGATACCAACATGTTAAATGGGTGTTAAAGGAACAAATAAAAACAGAACACCATAGGCTCTGGATGGAACTTCCTGGACTTAGACAGTCCAAAAGATTCATAGAGGGGCCATCCACGAGCAGACAACAACAACTGCTAAACCTTAGCAGAAGCAAACTCAAGGTCGTAATAGGACTCCTTACGGGACACTGCGGCCTTAGAAGACACCTAAATCTCTTAGGGATATCTGATGACTCCCTATGCAGAATATGTGAAGAGGAGGACGAAACTCCTATTCACATACTATGCCACTGCCGGAACCTTAAATGGGAACGGAAATGGTACTTCGGGGTACAATATCCGGAACCTGAAGAAATCGCGACAGCGCCCATCAGACATATTCTTGAATTCATCAAGAAAATCAATCTGATGGGATATAAACTGTGAGGGGTACAATAAGCCTAGAGCTTCAGTACAAGTGGGCTATGAACCACCCCCTTATTCAGATGATGATGACTACCGATGTTGTCAGTCCAATAGAAGGGCCAGGTCCACAAAGTATTTGGTTGGCAGCCTTCTTGGCTAGTGAAGGTTACCTTTCGATGTGACGTGACCTTTGATCCATCTTAAGGTGACCACATTGTTGAGGATACTTCAGCCAAAGCTTTGTGACATTCTAATACTAACTAACCATGAGTAAATTCGTGGCCTATTCAAGGCGAGTAATGCTTGTTTGTTATTTGTATAGATAGTAACTTATTTTGCTCCTAAATATAAGAATCTCCGTGAGCTTGGTTTGAACTGCACTGGTACTAGTGCTCACAGCCCATTTATGTTTAGGTTTAAGGAGCTGAGATATATTCCATATCCTGAGCCTTGTTTCATCTTAGAACATCCGGTGTAGTTATGAATCGTACCTGCCACTTCCGGTTCTTCTATTTGTTTCGTTAAAACTTTATATAGCTTATGGAAGAGGTGAGGTGGAGGTTATGTTCGCTCGAAGCAGTAAAAGCTTATCGAATGCCTTCGGTCAAAACGACGTCTCAATGCACTAGATTCTACATCAGGTTCAATTCCAACGGTGCGGAGGCATGTAATTGTCATCAGAGCAACCTCCTTGTTGTAAATACAAAGAGCAGTAAGACTCTGAATGATTTTCATGGTTCTGTCAATTGGTGAGTTTTGGATACAGACAACTGCACCGTATGTTAGCTTATGATGGCTGTGTAAGTCCATGTGAGGACTGTGGGAGAGTCCCCACGTTTTTGTATCTTTGTTTTCTAGGTCTCACACCACATTATCATGTTAACTTATTGTCATAGGTGAGACCTTGGTACTTTACCTCTATTGATGCAAAATTTAGTTTTGTGTTAAGGAGTTCTGGAGGTTTTAGTTACATTTTCATCTTTTTTCTTGCGACAAGGACCATTTTTGTCTTCTTGGGATTGATGGACAGTTAATGGTCCTTGCACCACTGTTCTATAATTTTGAGAGCTACTTGCATTCTTTCGCAGCGTATGTTCTCAAAATTCCCTGTCTACAGAATGACCAGTCCATCCGCTATTATGTAGAGGCTGTCATTTTTAAGGCGGTTGATAAGGGGATCGAGGACCAATTTTTAACTGGTAGAGGTGATAGTACCCCTCTTCCCACACTTATGTTTACTGTTCGCTTTGAGAGCATGTCATGTATCTAGCCACTAACAATCTTTGTAACATTTCTGTTGGCTAATGAGTGTATGATCTTGTGGTCTTGTCCAAAGCATCTTCTGAGAAGAGTATGGTGATAAGCAAGGGCGAAAAGAAACATTGTATACAACTTCTGAATACACTTTTAATTTTTAAGACATGTATGCTTACCTTCATCAAGTTTGCATTTAGGATTGGCCAACGGAAGTGGTCCGCAATCTTCTACCAATTCCAATAGACGTGGTGGTTTGTCTTCAGATACTACGCAAGTAGAACGTCCACAGAATGGTGTGAGGTCCCAAGATTTGCCTGGTTCTACTGTTGCACATCGGGTTGAAGCAAAGCACATGCCAGGAAAGTCTGAAGAAAAAATAATAACAATTAATAATAAACTCGGACGAAAACTGTTTTAAAATTAATTAATTAGTAGTTATAAAAATAAAAACGATTTTACAGGTTTGGACGAATAATTATTGTAATGGAGAGCTGAAACTATTTAAAGTAGGTACGTATCGTTATTTTCATACAGATATTATAATAATATATTATTTAACCGCAAGGAATGACTACCCTATATTATTATCTGATACGGAAATGATTTCTTTATGTTATCTTAATTATCAAATAAGAGAATGTACCTAATTTCTTAATCAGTAACAGTTTTAAAAGTGGTTTTTTTTTTTTTTTTTTTTTTTTTTTTTTTTTTTTTTTTTTTTTTTTAATTTGGTGTCATCGGCGTCAACTACTACGGCCATTCGCCTCGTGTTATGTGTAGGCTTTGTTACTGTTTTTTTTTTAAAGTGTTTATTTTCAATTTTGTTTAAAAACCTTAGTTAAAAAACCTGAATTGTAGATAGGCCTTTTTTAAAATGCTTTTACAATAGGTATTTTTTAAGATTGATGAAAAATTAAAAATACTTCAAAACGATCAGTGGCTGAAGAAGATAGGGTTAGCATTTTGGTAGATTTAGATGATCCCAATAATTAAGAACTGGTAGTCATTAAACAAACTAATATCAATTAAATATTCCCATTCAAGGCAGGTAAATGAATACTGACCGTGACTGAAATAGCAAAAAAAATAAATTTTCTTTGACCTTAATCACAGTTTAATAAAATTGTCATAATGGGCTAATGAATCACTGTTAATTTGACTATAAAAAATATGTTTTTCCTGGTAGCTATTTATGTAATTGTGCACTTGATTTACTTACCGAGGATTGAGGAATTATTCACATAATATGTCTAATTTTCAAGGTGAGATTTTCAGTTACATTAGAAAAGTAGTTTGAAATAATACTATAGTAAGTAGGCGACACAGGAAGTCGTCATTCTTATATTTTAATGTATAATTAAGATTGGAATAGATGATAATAATAAATGCATCTTAAGAGTATACAGGGTGACCACCTTTTAATTAAAACCGTTGGTTGGATTAAATGGGGAAAAGTTGTGTATTTTGAAGTTCAATCTGAGGACCAACTAAAATATCAGAGCCAGCACATTTGTCATTCTTTTCGATAACCTTAATTTTTGTGGCAGCTTCAGTAGAAGGTAAAGATTGAACTCACCTCGCTTACACATCATGACTACTTGATAACGGTCGTTGTTCCAAGGAGTCACATTATTTATTTTTAACGATTGTCATTACAATTTTTTTCAGTTTTATGTGGTTAGATGGCAAAACCATAAAGGTGTCATTTTAACACATCTGCTGTATTTTATGCACTTCTGTACGTTAAAAAACGATATAGGTACCTAGGCGAACTTTGACATTTTAACCAATCACATTTATGTTATCGTTAAAACCAATTAGAACCAAATAAATTGGCTTTTTCTACTGACTATCTCATATCGACTATCATGCATAGTGTTTGATATTCACCTATCAACCTATGTTTAATATTTAATAATACCTACTGTCAAATATTAATTGTCAGAGTACAAGCTAATATCTCGTGGAACGTTTCAAAATTAACCAAAAATGAAAGTTATTTTATTATGTATTTATTTATTTAAATTACATCCAGGGCTCTAAAAATAATCTTGCCATTTTCCTGGGCATAATTTTGTCATTAAGCTAAAGCTCTCGGACTCCAAACAGATTATTAATGACAAAATTATGTCTAGACAAATTGATACCAAAAACACTCAAAATTTAGATCCAATAAAAATAGTCGACTATTTATCAAATATACTGTGTTTGTTCAAATCCAGATATCGCTGCTTTCCAACAAGACCGTCACAACTCATTTTTTTTTAAATTGTCGGATTTTTGTACCATTGTACTTAAAAGAGCAGTATAATTTACCTGTAAGATCGACACAAATCAACTGTGCATAATATGGCTAGAGAGGGTTGTGACTGTTTGACATTTCTCGAAATAACGTCGCGCTTTTGTGCGCAAGATTGTCACAAAATAAAAAGTATCAGAAAAACTGACACAAGACAAAAAATGTCTGTGTTATAATTTATGTCGGTAATAGCGTCACATTTTAATTAAAAATGTTTTTGATCAAATTGTTAACATTTTTTAATTATTTTATTTTATGTGATAACGTTTAATTTCGAGTTGAAACCATTTTTCTTGAAGAAAATAAAAACATAATTTGGTTTCATGTGTCTTTTTTTAGTTGTGTGGTTTTTTCTTAATAAATGCTCAATTTAGTAAATAAGGGACAAACTTTCAAAAAATTGTGTCGATTAAAACCATAACTATAATAAAAGATGTCGTTTTAGAAATAAGATTCTTACATTTTAGGTTTTATTCTTTTACTTTTATCCAGAATTACTAGTTTTGTTTATTTTTAATGTTTATAGATTAACTTATGTTTTTTCTTTCAAGCATTTTTTTGCAATATTTAATATTTTCTTTCAAATTCAAGGTTCGTTATCCCGGTTAGGCCTGGTTTTTTTAAATACCTTGTATATTATAATCTGTAAAACAATACTCTTAAATTTGTTGTTTATTGAATTATGTTTAGTTAAATGATATAAAGACCTATTTAATCTAATTGATATTTTGTATGAAAAACTAGGGGTCTTCAGTACTAATAATTCAACGTGATTCCATAATTTTTGTAATCACATTGTTTATTACAAAAGGTTTAACAACATTTTTAATCGCTTCCATTAAAAAATAAATGTTTTTGAATTGTGCCTTTCTTGTTGAAAAGCAGTGATATGACTTATTTTCAGTATTCGAAAGTGGACAAAATCACATATAATATAGTTTACTTATTTTTATATTTTCCAAAATATTTCGATTTTCTATCTAACCAGATTTTATACATTAAGGGCCGATCTTTTTAACCGACTTCAAAAAAGGAGGAGGTTTTCAATTCGTCGCAATATTTTTGTTTTTTGTTTTTTATGTATGTATGTGTCCGATTTCAATGATTCTTTTTTGTTAGTAAGGGGGTACCTCAGGGGTGGTCCCATATAAATTTGGTTAAGATGTGGTGATGGCATCTACACGTTTTTGAAGTCGGTTTTTTAAATTTTTAATTTCTCATACTTGTCACTTCTAAATAAAGTTACATGTAAGTTTACTTGACAGATTAACGAACAATAGCCTTATAATTCTGATGCCTTGGTAGGATTCCCCACTCGACTTTACACTGTTGGGTTCTAATTAACAGTGCTGTTCCTTAAGTGGCGCTGGGAAACAGTACCAAAAGCTACACAGAATACGAGGCTAATTACCGTAGTAGTTGATGCCGATGACACCATATAAAAAAATAGCCCTATAGTTTAATCAGCAAGTAGTTACTTTCAACTTTAGTCAGAGGTGAAAAGATTGGCTCTAAACCATTACGAAATACAACTTTATTGAGCAGGCAAACAAATTAGTAGTATTTACTATATGTAATAATTTGATAATTAAATTAAAGCGTCAAAAGTACATTTCACTTAACGTGTATTTAACAATAAAGCAATTTTGTACCGTTTTAAACATGTATTTAATTTCATTATGAACTTGAAAATAGATTTACTATTACAATCCAAACGATTTTTTTTTTCGATAGAGTTTATTGCCCTTTTCTACGTGTAGCCTATTCGTTTTAACATTGAATTCATAATATATTATCTGGCATTGTTAGAAACCAGGTACTCCGGTAAATAATATCCGCTTTAAAAAATAAAGGACAGTCATGGGAAATGGTAGATCATCAATGATAAAAGATTCGACACACATTCAAGATACAATAAAAAAATCACCAAAGTGTAACAAGTTCATGTATGAAACGATTTTTGTTTTGTCTGTAGGTTACAGTTATTGAAAATAATTCGTAATTTATGTGATGAGATGACAGAAGCACTGTTTTCAAGAATTTTAATAAGGGACAGTAATAAAATTACACTTCATGTAATGTAAATATTTTAGGATAAATATTAGGTATATTTTTCATGTATTTTTAGGATATTACTTAGCTAAAGTGATCCAATTAGACTAAAATTAAAGATTCGTAATTTAAAGATAAATCATTTAAATAGTTTCTAGACTTGGATCAACAAGGGATGGTCTATGTTTATTTATTGCCTTAACATTTCTTTCAGCTTTTATTCAGCCTTAGACATGATCTATTAACGCTTATCGAAAATCAAATAAATAGCAGTTTCATAGAGTATGTTCCTTCCAGGTAAGGAGGTGGTAAAATATATTCATATTTATTAACAACATTGCGCTGATGCTGATGAATACACAATTTTTTTCTTCGGAGCCCGAAGAATTATCGCTAGCCTAGGAATCTTATAGGGTCAAAATGACGGTGTTTTCAACCCTACAAGACTAATGCATCAGTCAATAACTACAGCCAAAGACCTCCAGGCAAAATACAGAAGGAAAATTTTTAAATAGAATGAAGTGAGTTGTATAAAATGATTTTGATTGCTTTGCTGGGGCTTTTTTACTTTACTTTCTTATTTTTATCAACTTAATTTTAAAATAGTATCAAACATAAGATAGCATTAAGTTTCTAAGCTAAAGATTCAAAATAAAACATAAAATAGGAATGGCAGAAATGAAATTCGTCAAAATAGTAAAAGAATTACAAGAGGCAGAATGAGAATCAAAGATGATGAAACCTACACAAAAATCTTCGAGGAAACGTTAACAATGCTGACACTTTCCGGCTTCAAAAATTTTATTAGACCAGATAGTAGCAAACAGCCATCAAAGACGGTCTATTAGGCCAACTCTTTTGGAATAGAGGATAGCTACAAAAATATCGAGGCCGAACAAAATTAGACGGACTACAAACAAATTTCAGCCATACAAATCCCTAGGAGTAGATGGAACATATCCCATTCTACTACAAAAGGGACAGGAACCTTTACTTTCACATTATGTGTTGCAT